CTTCTCTGCAGGGCTGCTTTCAAGGACAGCTCTTTGTAGTCTGTATGGATGCCTGGGATTCCTCTGGCCCAAGTGCAAAACCTTGCACTGTGCTGTGTTGAACCTCATCAGGTTTACCCAGGCCACTTTTCTAGCCTGTTAAGGTCCCTCTGAATGGCATCCCTTCCTCCCACCGTGTCAACCGCACCACTCAGCTTGCTGTCATCAGCAAACTTGCTGAGGGTGCACTCAATTCCCCCATCGATGTCATTGATAAAGATGTTACAGAGCACCTGTCCCAAGACAGACCCCGGGGGACGCCGCTCGTTACCGGCCTCCACCTGGACATGGAGCCATTGATGACCACCCTCTGTCTGCAGCCTTTCAACCAGTTTCTTATCCATTGAGTGGTCCACCCATCAAATCCACATCCCTCCAGTTTGGAGATAAGGATGTGGCCTTGCTCAAGTCCAGGTAAATGACATCGGTCGCCTTTCGCTTGTCCACCGATGCCGTCACTCCATCACAGAAGGCCACCAGATTGGTCAAGCATGACCTTCCCCTGGTGAAGCCGTGCTGGCTGTGTCGGATCACACGCTCATTCCTCATGTGATCAAGTATGTTGTCCAGGACGATCTGTTCCGTGATCTTCCCAGGCACAGAGGTGAGACTCACCGACCTGTAGTTCCCTCAGCCCCGCTTTGCTCCCTTTCTTGTAAATGGGAGTGACGTGACCCTTCCTCCAGTCATTTGGGACCTCACCTGACAGCCATGACTTTTCAAATATGATGGAGAGTGGCCCAGCAACCACCTCAGCCAGCTCCTTCAGAACCCTGGGATGCACGCCATCCGGCCCCATAGACTTGTACACATTCAGTCTCATGAGGCGGTCTCAGACTTGCTCTGCCCTCCCAGTGGGGGGGATTTACTGTCCCGATCCCCACCTGGAGGTTTAGGGATGCTGGGCTCAGGGGCTTGAGAAGTACTGGAATCCTTGCTGCCAGTGGAGACCGAGGCAAAGAACTCATTCAGTACCTCAGCCTTCTCTTTGTTCGTTGAAGCCAGTTCTCCTTTTACATTTACCTAAGGAGGTACATTTGCTTTGGCCTGTCTCTTCTTGCCAGTGTACCTCACCAAGTTCAGTTCTGCCTGTGCCTTGGCTTTCCTGATCCCACGTCTGCCACTCTGAGTCCAGAGTTCTTAGTCAAGACATCTGACGGGATGCTTCTGGCAAGAAAAGACTCTAATGCTTCTTACTTCCAGGGAGAAACTGTGGCATATGCTCATGGCTCCCTTGCAGCATGTGGGTACCTGAGGATGCACTGCCAGAACACTTGATCCTGGCATGGTGTCTTCCAACTCAGCCATTCTATGGTTCTATGATCTTCAAGGTCCCTTCTAAGTCAATCATTCTATGGTTCTATGATTCTCTGACCCTAGGAGAAGGCTCATGTTCATCAAAGGCTGGAGATCTTGGAGCCCAATCCATCTCTGGATCAAGAGGAGGGAAGAAAAGCAAGAAAATGAGAGATGAAGCAGGGTGGAGAACAGAAACACCTTAGGGTTTGTTTTACGACAGGTTCTGTGTCCTTGCCTCCAGCATCCCTTGCCATCCATGGGGCCCAAAGGCACCGTCTGGCTGCAGATCCCCAGATGGGGAGGGATGCACACAGTGGGGATGTTGCATCCTGCACACCCATGGCTCTGCACCAGCTGCTGCCCTAACTCCCCATATGCCAACCCATATGCTCACTCCGCATGAAACATCATGGTAGCGGTTATTTGGAGAGGAAAATGGGCAGCCAGGAGGGACCTCAAGCATCTATTTCTAACTCCTGCTGTGGGCTGGTTGCTACCTATCAGATCAGGTTGCCCAGGGCTCCATCCAACATGGCCTCCAGTACGTTTTGTGAAGAAATCACACATGCAGTATTTTCTAGGAAAGCTCCACGGGTTCAGACAAAGCTCTGAAAAGTGGCATGGGGCAGTGCTGTTCTGTCCCGGTGTCACCAGGAAGGGGCTGGTGGGCTCTGCACCACCTGCAGCCGTGCCATGGGGTGACATGGTGCAGTGTGTTGGGAAAGATGTTGGGATAGCACAGTGCTGAGACCAGGGCTCCTCCTGAGAAGCAACTGAGCTTTCTGCCTTCACTCCTCTCTTTGTAAAATGGAAATGATGACTTGATCCATCTTTGCAGAGGGGATTATGCTTTAATCCGAGGCTCTGTGGCACAGGAGCATACATTAGCCATATCGATTGGGATGCTGCCTGCCTGCTCTTGCTGTGATCACTCTGAGGATGTGGTGGGATTTGTGATGGGAGGAGGTGGGAGGGTTTTGGGAGCTAATTGCAGTGTTAGGGGGCAGCAGGGCAGTGGGCTCATCCCAATCTGGGGGCAGCCTGCTCAGGGGGACATGGGAAATGTTTGCTACTGAGGGGTTTGAGTCTTGCCATGACCTCTCTTAATCTTTGTAAATGCATCACTGCTCTTGGGTGGATGTCTGCTGTCAGCTGGGATATGGTCAATGGCTCCAAGAGCTCAGCTAGGTGCAAAAGTTGGAATAAAGAGAGAAAGAGACAAGCTCTGAGAACAGGATATCGGAAGAAATGGAACTCAGGTTTGAATGCATCATCCTATAAAAGCTGCATCTCACCTGACCAGGACCAGGTGCTGTGATTTAGTGAGGTAAGGGTGGGAGTAATGCCTACAAGCGGAGCAGGTGGGCTAGTAGGAGCTATGGAACCTGAGAGCAGAAAATAATGGGATGCAGAGACAGGTTGACTTGATGCACTGTGAACTGTTAGCTGGTGGATGGGCCAAGACCCATCTTCCAGACTGTCCCAGTCCCATCTTTTGAAAGCCCAAGTAAAAGCCTTTCAGAAATCAGAATAATCATCATCTATTCAGCATTCTTCCTCTTGCTCTTGTTGCTGTGGCATTTGAAGGGAGAGCTCAGGCTGCTTTAGGAGTGTTAACTGCTATGTGATGCTTGAAATCCCAATGATGCCCTTGTGTGAAGCCGTGTGTGTTGGTGCTTGGGCAGCCTGGAGAAACTGACATAGCTCTGCAGGTTTTTTGACTTGCTTCACACTCATAAAAATAGTCAGAAACGAGATGGTGCTCTGGTGCCTGCATAGAATCACAGCACAGTTGGGTTGGAAGGGACCTCATAGAACATAGAGTGATTGAGGTGAAAGGTACTTGATGACCGTACAACCACAGCATGCTTGGGTTGGAAGGGACCTTGGAGATCATAGAACCACAGAACAGTTGGATTGGAAGGGGCCTTGAAGATCATAGAAACATGGAATGTTTGGGTTGGAAGGGACCTTAAAATTCATAGAAACATGGAATGTTTGGGTTGGAAGGAACCTTGAAGATCATAGAACCATAGAATTGTTGTGTTGAAGGGACCTCGAAACCCACAAACCCCCAAACACTGCTGTGGGCTGTCTAAAAACCATTCCCCTTTGCCCTATTACTATCAGAACATGCATTATCCAAAATGGGTGAAAACTCTGCCTGGTTCTCCATCTTGCCCAGGTTGCCAACATGAGCAGTGCTGTGCTAACCTGGGTCCAACAAGGACTGCGTCAACTGGCCATACAGAGGTTGGGTTGAGACCCTGACTGTTTTGTCACGAGATCCCCAGGTAGTCATCACCCATGTGAGACAGAACTCAACCCAACCCTGATTTGCAGTTGTCTCTGCTGTTGCGGAACCAAAGCCTCAGAGGATCTGCATGTACATGTCACCTTCCTGCATCTTCATAATTCATTGGGTTTTGTCTGAAACAAGCTTCTAGCAGTATGCTTTGTTACCGTCCTTAAAACTCAATGCAGAAGAGAAGGTTTATGGTAGTGGTGTTCCCCAAGGGTCGGTGCTGGGGCCTGTCCTCTTCAAAATCTTTATTGATGACCTGGATGAGGGCATTGTGCACCCTCAGTAAGTTTGCAGATGACACCAAGCTGGCTGGAAGTGTCGATGTGCCTGGGGGTAGCGAGGCCCTACAAAGAGATCTGGACAGGCTGGATAGCTGGGCTGAAGCCAGTGAGGTTCAACAAGGCCAAATGCTGGGTCCTGCACTTTGGCCACAACAACCCCAGGCAACGCTACAGGCTTGGGGCAGAGCAGTTGGAAGACTGTGTAGGGGAAACGGACCTGGGGATGTTGATTGATGTTCAGCTGAACATGAGCCAGCAGTGTGCCCAGGTGGCCAAGAAGGCCAATGGCATCCTGGCTTGCATCAGGAACGGTGTTGCCATCAGAACAGGGAAGTGATTGTCCCCCTGTACTCAGCTCTGGTGAGGCTGCACCTCGAGTGCTGTGTCCACTTTTGGGCCCCTCACTGCAAGAAAGGCATTGAGACCCTGGAGTGGGTTCAAAGAAGGGCGACAAAGCTGGTGAGGGGTCTGGAGCACAGGCCTTATGAGGAGCAGCTGAAGGAGCTGGGATTCTTCAGTGTGGAGAAGAGGAGGCTCAGGGGAGACCTTATTGCTCTCTATAACTACCTGAAGGGAGCTTGTAGTGAGCTGGGGGTCGGCCTCTTCTCTCATGTAACTGGTGACAGAACTAGAGGGAATGGCTTCAAGCTGCACCAGGGGAGATTTAGGCTGGACGTTAGGAAATACTACTTTTCTGAAAGAGTGGTCAAGCACTGAAATGAGCTGCCCAGGGAGGTGGTGGAGTCACCGACCCTGGAGGTGGTCAAGGAACGTTTGGATGTTGTGTTGAGGGACATGGCTTAGTGAGAACTACTGGTGATAGGTGGGTGGTTGGACTGGATGATCTTGTAGGTCTTTTCCTTGGTGATTCTGTGATTCTGTGATAATTTATTTCACTGTTTTTTCTGCACCAGAAATAATTGCAGCCATATTTATTGCTGGGGGAATGTAGAAATGAAAATGATAAGGGAACAGCTTTGTTTAGGGTAATAAATAATTTATGTTGTAAATTCACCAGAAATCTGAAGTCTGAAGGACTGATTTTTGCTTCCTTCTCTGTCCCAGGAATGAGATGGAGCCTTAACTCTTTTGTGTGGTTGATATCCATGGCTTCTGTCACTGGGATCATCTGTTCAGCTCTTCTACATGGCAAAATGTAGAATTTCACCATGTAGGGGTGGTCATTGGCTGCAATTTCACCATGCAGGAACATGGACTGCCTATGAGTTGGCAACGAGGCAGCTTTTGCATTCAGTGGTGAGATGAGCATCCAAGGAATAATTCCTCCTTTCCTACAACAAATATCACAGGCAGAATAAAACATAATTTTGACTATAGAGAGATCTTTGATGGCTCATTTCCCATCTGCCAGGACAGAGGTTATGCACTGAGCCCTTCTCACTGAACTGGAGGAGATGCTTCTAGAAAGATACCCTAAAAAAAAAAAAACAACAAAGTTTATTAGAAAATGGCAGTTCTTCCCCAGAGTGCCCTTCCCCAGGTTGTAGGCTCAAAGTATGTTTGTGTCCACTTTGGATAATCTTTGCAAGGAGTGAAGAAGGGGAGAGATAATGAAAGCTGGGAGGTGTAACTACAGAGGGAGCTGGAATGGGAGCTGCTGGCTTCTGAGACAGAAAGCAGAGATGTTTTCCATTAGTGAGAAGATATAACATGGGGAGACTGAATAGCAATATCCTCCCATAGCCTAGCCCTCTTCTAAACAAAGAAAGGACATCTGCAGGGACATCGGCACTCAGTGGAAATTGTTGTGTCTTGGAAGGAAAAAAAAAAGACTCCCACTGTTTTCTAATTGATTAGTTCAGTACGAACGTGGAGGTCTTGTTTCTATCCTTGGAGGAGCAGGGAGGGCACGAGCCTGTTTCCTCACGTGCACCCTTGCCTCTAGTTTGCAAGTCAGCCTTCACTCAGCAGTTGAATTTTCAGCTGTCACAGAGGCAGAAAGGAGGAAAAAAAATCTGGTAACTAAGCAGGCACCTAAGAATCATCCACAAAAAGACAGGCAGAGACAGTAACCATCACAGTCAGAGGTGGCCAAACAGTAGGCAGCATTTCAACTTGCTTGAGAGCTGTCAGACAGCTGGTGAGGTCTCTGGTTGTGCTGTAAGCTTTTGGAAAGGAAAGTCAGTGCATCAGTTATTGAGATGAGTCCTCATGTTGATATGTATGAAGCTTCTGTCATCTTCCAGGACATGGCCCAAAACCTCAGCTTCTGCAGATGGGAAGATACAAGGGTCTGTGCACTGCTTCCTTCAGGTGAACGTCCTTCTGTCCTGGCAGAACAGACCTACAAGGCATGAGTTCAATGTGTGTTGTGGCCTAAACACCAAGATCATAACTGTGCACTGCACAAATCTTCTAACCTCATGCATGCTATTCACCATTCCTTCCTCTCTGCTTCTGCTTTTCCTCCAGTGTTTTCAACTCTGTGCTTCAAACCCAATATTTAATCCCTTCTTGGCTATAAGAGCAGCTAAGACTGAGATATGTTGCTTAGAAAACGGTAGGTCACAGCTCCTTGAGGTTTGGAAACTGGAGGAAGGAATGGATGAAGAGGCATGGGTCATCAAAGGCAAAAGGGTAAAAATCTACCTTGGGTTTTATTCACTGTGGTTTGTAGAAGGATGGTTTGGTGTCAGGGAACATTCCCCAGTAGGCATTGGCTGTAGAAGGCATCATGCCTCAGACACACGCCTTGATTTACTGTTCCTTGAGATTATGTTTTTTCCCTTTTTTCCCAAAGCTCAAAGTCATTTCCAAGTCCCTTTCTGGCAACCCCAGGGGAGCTGGAACTAGATGGAACTAGAAGATCTTAAATGTCCCTCGCAACCCAACTGTTCCATGGTTCTGTGACATTTAAGGTATTTGATAATACAAGCTGAGTGGTGCGGTTGACACGGTGGAAGGAAGGGATGCCATTCAGAGGGACCTTAACAGGCTAGAAAAGTGGCCTGGGTGAACCTGATGAGGTTCAACACAGCACAGTGCAAGGTTTTGCACCTGGGCCAGAGGAATCCCAGGCATCCATACAGACTACAAAGAGCTGT